GACAACGGTGGTAGATGGCTCGGTTCTTTAGGATGAATCCGTTAATTGAGTGGTGAATTTTTAATAACCAGAGACAACGCCCTTGATAGTTGCCCCTCCCCCCTTCCCCTCTCCTCGCCTCAGGGAGTTACCCTTCTCTCCGCCCCAGGCTCTCTCATCAAGGATTTATGGACTGTGTTTTCTGTTAGGTAGTGTGGCTCCTTGTTGTCAGCTGTTGAGGTGCTCCTATAATGGGACCTTAGGAAGATTACGTATCCCTGTTTATTTCACCTGATGATTGAATATCCTAAACCCAACCCAACCCACCCCAAACTGGACCCAACCCCAACCAACCCCAACCCAACCCCAAACCCAACCCCACCCCACCTCAACTAACCCTTAACTCCAACCCCAACCCCACCTCAACCTTCACCCCAACCCCAACCCAACCCAAAACCACACCCAACCCAACCCCAACCCCAACCCAACCCCAACCCTAACCCAACCCAGCCCAATCCCAACCCAACCCAGCCCAACCCAACCCAACCCACTCCAACCCAACCCAACCCAATCCTCAACTCCAACTAACCCAACCCAACCCAACCTGGGTCCCAACCCAACCCAACCCAACCCAACCTAACCCAACTCACCCAACCCAACCCAACCCAATCAACTCCAACTCAACCAACCCAACTCCAACCCAACCCAACGGCCCCAACTCAACCCAACCCAATCCCAACCCAACCCAACCCAACCCAACCCAACCCAACCCAACCCAACCTAACCCAACCCAACCCAACCCAACCCAACCCAACCCAACCCCTCCGTATAGCTTTAGGGTATTTAATCAGAAACAAGCGGGTGTTGTTAATCTTCATGAGATCCCTGTAAGTTTGTAGTTCACGGTGAAGGAAGTTACATAATGCCGGGAATTGTATACTGAGTCAGACAGTGAGATCGTTAACAGAGTAAAAAACAAGGTGACCCGACGTATCCAGCCTGCAGATGAGAGGTGATGCAGCCGTCGTTGATAATACTCACAACAAAGGCGTTATATCCTACCATTTTAAGGAAACTAAAAACGTACCGACAGAGAAAGGAAAGGTCAGAGGGCAGGATACAGGAGCATACATTACAATGTTTCCTCTCTCGGTTGTCGAAAATGGAAGCCTTTATGCAGAACATCATGGACCTACTGGAGCGGAATTCTCAGCATCCACAGAAACCCTGATGGCGAAGCACAGCTCTCACGACCCTGGGTATCTCGTACAGAGAGCAGTTAGGCGAACTTACCAAACAAATCTGTCTCCTCCAAATTTCCCTGCAAACTGTATGCCAACTTTTGTGTTTACTAATGTACCGTACACAGAAATTACAGTTGACTCGGGAACCCGTAACTTTTTTTCTTTCCATGAGCAGCAAATGGGAGCCATGTGGCGTATAAAGCAGATACACTTTTGGGAAGGAGTGGAGTGAGTTATCTTCCCAGAAAAACACGAGATTACCCGTGACGCAACTATATTAATGGTTGACCAGATGTTTCCTTGTGTGGCGCGGCGTTTTGCTGTTGTATGAGGACAAGGAGGAGGACTTTACTGTAGTGTAGGGGCAGGGGGGAGGACTTAACTGTGGTGTGGGGGCAGGGGGGAGGACTTTACTGTGGTGGGGGGGCAGGGGGGGAGGACTTTACTGTGGTGTGGGGCAGGGGGGGAAGACTTTACTGTGGTGTGTGGGGGCAGGGAGGAGGACTTTACTGTGGTGGGGGGCAATGAGGAGGATTTACTGTGGTGTGTGGGGGGCAGGAGGAGGACTCACTGTGGTGTGGGGGCAGGAGGAGGGACTTTACTGTGGTGGGGGCAAGGAGGAGGACTTTACTGTGGTGTGGGCAAGGAGGAGGATTTACTGTGGTGTGGGGCAAAGAGGAGGACTTACTGTGGTGTAGGGGCAGGGGGAGGGACTTTACTGTGGTGTGGGGGCAGGGGGGGGAGGACTCCCCTACTGTGGTGGGGGCAAGGAGGAGGACTTTACTGTGGTGTGGGGCAAAAGGGGAGGACTTTACTGTGGTGCGGGGGCAGGGAGGAGGACCTTTACTCGTGGTGTGGGGGCAGAGGAGGACTTTACTGTGGTGTGTGGGGGGGCAAGGGAGGAGTGACTCACTGTGGTGGTGGGGGCAGGGAGGAGGACTCTTTACTGCTGTGTGGGGCAGAGAGGGAGGACTCTACTGTGGTGTGGGGGCAAGGAGGAGGACTTTACTGTGGTGTGGGGGGCAGGGGGAGGACTTTACTGTGGTGTGGGGGGGCAGGGGGAGGGACTTTACTGTGGTGTGGGGCAGGGGGGAGGGACTTTACTGTGGTGGGGCAAGGAGGAGGACTTTACTGTGGTGTGGGGGGCAAGGGGGAGGACTCCTACCGTGGTGCGGGGGGCAGGAGGAGACTTTATTGCGGTGTGGGGGGCAGTGAGGAGGACTTACTTCGTGGTGGGGGCAAGGAGGAGCACCCCTTACTGTGGTGTGGGGGGCAAGTGAGGACTTTACTGTGGTGTGGGGCAGGGAGGAGGACTTTACTGTGTGGGGGCAGAGAGGAGGACTTTACTGTGGTGTGGGGCAAGGAGGAGGACTTTACTGTGGTGTGGGGGGCAGAGAGGAAGACTTTACTGTGGTGGGGGCAAGGAGGAGGACTTTACTGTGGTGTGGGGGCAGGGAGCACCTTTCTGTGGTGGGGTCAGGGAGGGGAGGAACACCTTACTGTGATGGGGTCAGGGAGGGGAGGAACACCTTAAAGTAGTGGGGGTAACAGAGAGGGGAGGAACACCTTCACCTGATGGGTAAAAAACCCCCCTCTTAACTCTTACTTTCAGCCAGATTCACTTGTTGTTTAGGGCTCCAGGTACATACCTCTCTAGCTTGATTGCTAGAAGGCTAAATTGATTATATATTCTCACTGATTTAACAACGGGGTAAATTTATTGTATATTCGCTGTACAGGTGACGGCAGTATGGTAATATAGTGCCAGTATTGTTGGTTAATTCAGGTGGTAGACGAAAGCACTTGTTTACCTTCACCAGCTGGCAAGTAAGTATCAGGTAACTCCTCCACAGCTGGAAAAAACACCTACTTTTACAACCCGTGGCCCGTCGCCTTGCACACGAGAGCACTTGGTTACCTTGGACTCGTAACCATCCCAACACTAAAGTTTTATTGATTGTTTTTAAAGAATGTAAAATGTACGACACATAGTTTAAAAAAAATCTAGCGTCGAGACACTCCTTTCCCTTGGCCTATCTTGTCTAGCGTTACAGCATTACGTCTTGTTCCTCCCGAAGTAGGAAGTCATGTATAGACAATAACAAGGCGGGTTCTGGCGATGCTTAACGTCCAGGGTCCAGTCCAGAAACTAACTCGGCGTCTTTTATAGTCACGGAAGAATTTTGGCTGTCGTTGGGAGCCCCATTTTGTGCAGAAGGAACCGCTCTCCCGTGTTATGGCCAGATAAAAGAAGGGAACTTGCCGAGTCAGCATCAGCGGGGGAAAGAATGATGGACATTCCAGGTTAGGAAAGTGGGTCCTCCTCGCCGGCTGTATTGTTTTTGTCGACAAACTATGTGCTGGAGGAACAAGTTACGATATGTTTGGGTCTCTATTAGCATACAGTGCACTCGCTGAATCATCGCCGAGGAAAACAGTTTATCTCTTGAGGTGTGTGGACTGGTCACTGAGGACACGCGGTAGAGGGCGTATTGCTCCACTGTTTTGATCGTAACCATAACCAGGGTATATATAGTGTTTAGATATGTCTCTTTATTGGTTTGTCTGTATACTAGCAAGAGAGGAGAGAGAGAGAGACATGACTTGGAATAGGATCACCAAACAGAACAGTTGTATTATTCCATGACGTTTACACCCACTGGAAGAATCGAGTAAGAAGGTCAGGTAATTCAACGAGTTTTAAAGGTTAAGGTCACAGGGGTAGGGGTGTAATAATGTACCTTTACTGAATACCTTTTAGATGTCACCTGTATCAAGCTTAGTGGTGAGGAACAGGTGTTAGTTTGGCCATTTAATACACACACACACACACACACACACACACACACACACACACACCAGACGATAAGCCAATATGACACATTTCTCACCACATGCCCCCTGACGTAACAGTTTGCGACACATGTGCTAGACAATGCAGGTGGTACGTGAGGCGAAAAGACAAGAGGCTGATTTAGAGTGGGTGGAGTAGAGGTGGTGAGGATGAAGGTGTCCGTGGTGAGGGGCCTTGTGAGGGAGATATCGCCTCATTCTCACCCCAAGTCGGTGTTTCTCTGCTCTTGAGACAAATTTTACTCCAGAAATAAGCCATTATGTAAACGCCATCAAAGGATAATCTTGTACTGACCTTGAATTATAATTGTAATGCAATAATCCAATAAGCCTTACGTAGTTATTGTAAAAAGGACATCCCAGGGTAATGTGACCGCTTTCTTTTGAGAGCAGATAAAATGCAGAATTAGACGCCAAGGATACAGTTACCCTGTCAGAAGACTACTCCTCCAGGATATATGATCATTCAGGCGTGCCAGGTTACAGTACAAGCCAGGTATGGACAGGTATATTGTCAAAGGTTAGACCCATCCCGGATCTAGGTGGGATGAAGGAGGGGGAGTATAACCTAGGTATAATGCAAAGGGAGGTGAGTGCGTGTGTGGCGTCAGTGAGCGTGTGTGTTGATGGCGGCTGATGACAGACTGCGCCAGATTGATCCTCTGTCTAGTCCCTGTACCTGGTTGACGTCACCACCTGGCGACTAATGGACTGCTCGGGGGAAATTAGGTGTTTTATCGTGTGTCGGCAGTCTCGTTTGTGAAGCAGCCACCCCCCCCTTTTTTTTACTAGATTATATATTAATTTGTAAAGTATCGTGAAATTTCAGGGGACGTGAAATGATTGCATTCCTCAGTCAGCCAGTGTAAAGGCCATTAATGAGAGACTGTCCTTTCATCTGGTCTTATTTCATCCTCTCCCCAGCCCCCGAAAGCACAGACGACAGCCACACTCTACCCTGTGACCGTGGCCATGATCGGTGTGACCTACATGCTTCAGAATCGTGTTAACTCGTCCTTCTACGTCGGTCAATCCATCTACCGTGTTTCTTTCAAGTCTGTCGTATGATTTGTGAGATGGTATACACAGACAGACAGACAGACACAAACATCAATACCACTCACTCACTATACCCCCACCCCCACCCACCCCACCCCACCCCACCCCACCCCACCCCACCCCACACCCCACCCCACCCCCCCACACCCCCAACTCCATCCCTGTCCCTCCTCGGGTGGGAGTTAAGTAAGCTAATCTAACTAATCACCTTCATCTCTTTCAACGAGGCAAACCTGAACCCATTTAAAAGATTAACAGGTCACTCGATAAACGCTTAATCTCCTGCTCCAGCTACTTGATAAAGGGACACAGGCGAGGTATCATGGCCTTCTCACCTCACCTCACCTCTCACATGTACAGTAAATAAACAACACTAGCTTGACACCTATTCCGTCACAGAGTTTGCTGGTAATATTAACTCCGTCACGAGGAATGTGGACGTAAAAGAGAGAGAGAGAGAGAGAGAGAGAGAGAGAGAGAGAGAGAGAGAGAGAATGCTAGAATATTCCTGACACAGAACTTTAAATTGTAGATCCCTGGTGGCAGTTGTTTGTATTGCATTGCATTTGCATGAGTTGCATGCTGGCACGGGGGAGAGGGGGGAGGAAGAGGGAGGAAGGAGGAAGGAAAGGGGTTGGTTGGTTTATTATTCCTGTGTTTATGTTTTCGTGTTTGTCATGTTGATAAGAGATTTATTGTTGCGTGTTTCTGTGTATCTTTTTGTTTATTTATATGATAATTATTCTTTTTGTTAATTTATTCATACGTGCCATAGTCATTGTAGATTTTATTTGTTTCTTTATTGTTTGTGTATTTTAATTACTAACAAGGTAGTTATTATCGTTGTAGTGTTTTCATATGTATGTCACTTTGATGAGAGATTAGGTCTTATTTTATCTCTCTTGTTGTGTTGTGTTATTACTTACACAGTTATTAGTGTGATGACTCAGCCTTGACTAAAGGAGATCTTTCACTCATTGCAGCTGGTAGTAATAAGGGAAACTGAGCTCATAAGAGAGGGTCACGTGGTGTGCACTTTTGATGTGGATGAAACTGGTGTGGTTTACATGTTGACGTGATGTAATAGTGTACAGTTAGTGTTTACCTTCGTTGTTTACATGTTGACGTGATGTAATAGTGTACAGTTAGTGTTTACCTACGTTGTTTATATGTTGACGTGATGTAATAGTGTACAGTTAGTGTTTACCTACGTTGTTTACATGTTGACGTGATGTAATAGTGTACAGTTAGTGTTTACCTACGTTGTTTATATGTTGACGTGATGTAATAGTGTACAGTTAGTGTTTACCTACGTTGTTTACATGTTGACGTGATGTAATAGTGTACAGTTAGTGTTTACCTTCGTTGTTTACATGTTGACGTGATGTAATAGTGTGCAGTTCGTGTTTACCTACGTTGTTTATATGTTGACGTGATGTAATAGTGTACAGTTAGTGTTTACCTTCGTTGTTTATATGTTGACGTGATGTAATAGTGTACAGTTAGTGTTTACCTTCGTTGTTTATATGTTGACGTGATGTAATAGTGTACAGTTAGTGTTTACCTCGTTGTTTATATGTTGACGTGATGTAATAGTGTACAGTTAGTGTTTACCTTCGTTGTTTATATGTTGACGTGATGTAATAGTGTACAGTTAGTGTTTACCTACGTTGTTTATATGTTGACGTGATGTAATAGTGTACAGTTAGTGTTTACCTTCGTTGTTTATATGTTGACGTGATGTAATAGTGTACAGTTAGTGTTTACCTTCGTTGTTTATATGTTGACGTGATGTAATAGTGTACAGTTAGTGTTTACCTTCGTTGTTTACATGTTGACGTGATGTTATAGTGTACAGTTAGTGTTTACCTTCGTTGTTTACATGTTGACGTGATGTTATAGTGTACAGTTAGTGTTTACCTTCGTTGTTTATATGTTGACGTGATGTAATAGTGTACAGTTAGTGTTTACCTTCGTTGTTTATATGTTGACGTGATGTAATAGTGTACAGTTAGTGTTTACCTTCGTTGTTTACATGTTGACGTGATGTTATAGTGTACAGTTAGTGTTTACCTTCGTTGTTTACATGTTGACGTGATGTTATAGTGTACAGTTAGTGTTTACCTTCGTTGTTTACATGTTGACGTGATGTAATGGTGTACAGTTAGTGTTTACCTTCGTTGTTTACATGATGACATTACGTAATAGTTTAGTGTTTACCTTCATTGTGTACATGGTTGACGTGACAAAATGAACTTAATTGCTTCTGATTGGTCTATACAAGTGTTTAGAGTAATTTTTAAAACTCCCTTGTTGTATTTGTTCATGTTTCTTTGTTGGTGTTGTTGAATTTACTAAAACAAAACAAAAATAAATGTTGTTAGAAGATAATATTAATCACATCTTTACTGTTGTCTCGTGTTTTGGCAGAGCTTAATTGTTTTATGTTTAATTTCAAGTGTTTGTTTGTTTTAGGTGAGTGTTATTAGTCCAGTTCAGTCACTCATAAAGTATATTTTATCAGTTCTTCGTAAGCTAAAATATTTTCCATTCTCCCATACTGTTATTTTTTTTGTTCCCTCACTGACTTTTCTCACTCCCCCACAGACACAGATCATTTCCTCACTCCCTCACAAACCTGTTTCTCTTGTACGAATATACAGAACATATTTTCTACACTCTTAAACACGAATGATTGGTTGCAGATGGCGTGGTTGGTGACGCATGATTAACGCCACCCTTATGTTGCAGGTTTTGGTGGAGTACGATGACGTGGAGTGGCAACGGCGGGAATGGGTGCACGTGTACCGAGGCCAGGTGTTTCAGATCTTCCTGCTGGAGCGAACACTGGCCTGGGCCTCCCGCAAGCACCCCACTAAAATACGAGCCGCGCCCGTCCTCTGGCCAGCCCTTGTGAGTATTACTTATTCTCTTGGTTGTAATCCTGAGATATATCCTGTGGTCAGCTCTTGTGAGTGCTAAGTCCTATCTATCCTCATCCTATTGATCATCCCTTATGTCACCCATCCTGTTTGTAATCCTGTCTTCATCCATCCTGTGCCCTTACCAATTCCTTGCAAGGTATCCACTGGTCACCCATCATTGCATCAGATAAGTGCAGACTCATCTTAGAGACAACCTTGAGGCGGTATGTTGCCTCCTGAACGAAGAGTCTCAACACAGAGCCAAAATTAACCACTGGATGTAGGAAGAACCAGCGCTCGACCCTCGCCACCGAGAGACTCACCCTAACTGTACACGATGAAAGGGTGAAGGGAGGGAGGGGGGGGTGGGGGATAAACTGGGAATATAACCCATGTGGAAATCCTCGATATATATATATATATATATATATATATATATATATGATTTTCCTTATGCCCCACTGGCCCTTCCATGTTTAGTATCCTCGCCTTGATCTAGCGGCGCTCCTACGTGGTTGTGTGAAAAAAAGAGACCACAGTTTGATGTACATAGGGCACTTGTTCTCTGTGTGTCTGCAGTGATGTATTGCTGTGTGAGTGCCGTGGTTTGGGTTGGTAACATGTGTATGGAGGTTGTTCACGCCCCTTTTGAATCTCAGGCACGAGCTGAATCATGGAGGAGGAGAGGAGGAGGCAGGTTTTTGCGTCCAGGTGAAGTGTGGAGACCAGTTGGTGATTGTAGAGTAAAAAAACAAACCTTTGAATGTTAAAAGTACCAACGTCTGCTGTGGTCTGCGTCGCTAAAACTTGTTATTGTGAGTGATTTTATGCATTGTTGAGAAAGAAAGTATCAACAAAAGATTAGCCATCCCAGCTTATTTCACCTGAAGATAAATTACCCTACTAACCTAACCTAACTCCTTCCTAGGTAGCGTTAGGATGGTTAATCTTCAGGTGTTACGTAAGAAACAAACCTTTTTAATGTTATAAGTACAAACGTCTGCCCTGATAAATGTTCCGAACGCATTACAGCAACGACTGTTAGAACATTATGCAATGAAGAAAAAAATCATTATTTTTTTTTTACCCTTCTAGGAAAAAATTCGTGGAGGCTGCTGTGAGTTACATTGTGTGGAGGACACTTACCTCTCCTCTCTTAAGTCCCTCCTCCTCGTTATGGTACGGGTTAACTGCCTCCTCCACACCCTTCACTACACCCTGCCTACGTTTTTTTTGTATTCATCCCTCGTCTACACCCTCCACTACACTCTAACAATACTGTATACCTTCCCTGACACAGCCCTCATCTACACTCCCCCACTACACCCATCCTTTCCTCCTTAGCCCCCCCGTCCCCTCCTTCCCCTCCCTCCCTCCCTCCCTCCCAACATGTGTCCGTCTCTTGATAGTTATGGTACGGACGTGTTCCTCAGTAAGAAACAGGACAGCCAGACATGCCATCACGTACCGGAGTGTTGACTTCTGAGGTTCTGGTTAGTTATAAATAGTTTCACCATCAGTTATAAGAACCATTGAGGAGAGACCAAGTTGAGGGCCTTCGGGATTGAGTGTGACAAGCTTCTCCTGGTGGTAGTGGTGGTAGTTGTTGTGGGTTGCAGGAGGCGTCAAGCAGTCACAGTCTAGTAAGTTGATCACGTTGTCGCGCGGTTAAGCCTGCACACACACACACACCCACACCGAGTTTCTGTAGGAGGGGGGAGTAGGGAAATTGTCAACACCGGTTAAAATAGATGTGTGATATGTGTCGTCTCCTGTCACCTGCTCGTTGTCATACTTGGCTTGTCATCTCCTGCTGTGGTCGTCATGGTTCTCTGTCGTTAACATGTCGTGACAGCGTGACCCTGACTCAAGTAAATCACCGTAAGAAATTGGCCGGGAAAATATATTTTATTTCTTGGGGTCTATGTAACGTAAGAGTCAGGTCCTGTGTGTGTGTGTGTGTGTGTGTGTGTGTGTGTGTGTGTGTGTGTGTGTGTGTGTGTGTGTGTGTGTGTGTGTGCTGTGTGTGTGTGTGTGTGTGTGTGTGTGTGTGTGTGTGTGTGTGTGTGTGTGTGTGTGTGTGTGTGTGTGTGTGTGTGTGTGTGTGTGTGTGTGTGTGTGTGTGTGTGTGTGTGTGTGTGTGTGTGTGTGTGTGTGTGTGTGTGTGTGTGTGTGTGTGTGTGTGTGTGTGTGTGTGTGTGTGTGTGTGTGTGTGTGTGTGTGTGTGTGTGTGTGTGTGTGTGTGTGTGTGTGTGTGTGTGTGTGTGTGTGTGTGTGTGTGTGTGTGTGTGTGTGTGTGTGTGTGTGTGTGTGTGTGTGTGTGTGTGTGTGTGTGTGTGTGTGTGTGTGTGTGTGTGTGTGTGTGTGTGTGTGTGTGTGTGTGTGTGTGTGTGTGTGTGTGTGTGTGTGGACACTTGGTTGCATCACGATGAGAACGGCAAAAATGATGATGATGAAGAAAAACACAAGTGGACAATAGATTGCCGGTCGAGTTTTTTAACGTTGAGAAGTGTGTACGAGGAGTGTAGTATTACCTAGATGGCACTGGTAGACTTTCTCATTGGTGCAGCAGACTCTCCCTCTACACCGTCATCCACCGTCAGATATAAACTGTGACAGTCATCAACGGACTCACATCCACCCAATAAATAACTCCTCGCTATTACGTCTATTTGTATTAATTATATGTGTGAAGGACCCAGAGCGCTTCGCCCACACACTCGTACCCGAAAACTAAAAGTGAGAGATGAAAACTACGTTTTTCCTCTACCGTGGGAGACTCGGACGGGTTAATGCTGCAGCATCCGGGAACATGGCAGGCCAACAGGACGACTTGAGAGGTCAAAAGACCCTAAGTGGGAGAGTGAGAGGGAGGTGAATGGAGGGAATGAATATGATCCTGGTTGAGAGTGGGATTACCAGGTGGACGTGTGTGTGTGTGGTGCGGGGAGTAATCTTGTCGTTATCGTCCATAAGGTCTGGCCGCCTGCCTTAATCTTCCATCTTGGCGAGTAAAACCTGTCCTAGGAACCTGTTCCCTGACTCATCAACATAACTTAGCCCTCACACTGCCCGGGGTCACACCCTCCACCCCCCAGCCGGACCTCCTCCGCCAGCTCCCCTGACTTTAAATTATCAAATTAGTACCTTGTCCCATCTACATTCTCCGCTCGTGAGTTGGAGTAAAGAACAGATATGGTGAGTGTTACATTGTAGTTTAGTGTGAAGACTCGTTCCTCTGCTGATGGTCAGATAGCAGGTGACATTTTCTGATGAAAACTATCACTTACAAACAGTGCAAATTATTTGATTACTAGATTTATGGTATGTAGTTACGTGTGGGGGGATGGGGTGCGCAGGTGTGTTCCCGTCATGGAGGGTTGTGAATAATGTGACACGTGTTGGGATAACTACACAGCCCAGTTGACCGCAGCTGTGCCCACCTAGTAAGGCTCACCTTACCTTCATGCAGACCTTTTTACACACACACACACACACACACACACACACACACACTCTTCATCTTGCAGAAACTTCTCTTGAGTAAACTTTGTCGAGCTGGTGACAAGATCTCCTCACCCAGGAATCTTACACACACGCACGTCACATCACCCCCCAAAACACCAGTCTTTGAGAACATGAGGAACGTGATTTTACTCCTCTTGATAATGAGACGGATGAGATGGTTATGATATATATACAGTAGACAATGTGTGTGTGTGTGTGTGTGTGTGTGTGTGTGTGTGTGTAGAGAGAGAGAGAGAGAGAGGAGAAGGGGAAGAAGAAGAGGTGGAGAATCTTGTATTAGTGACAGACGCTACACGATAAACAGGTCAAATACCGTGAGATACGTGGAAGCAATTAACCTTGAGATTTAACGATGCTGTGAAGCCGCGGAAAACACAACTAATTGGCAAAATTACGACTGTGTTGAGTAACTTAATCACCCAGGTGCAACATTAGTTTAATTACGGAGAATCTGTTTGAGAGAGAGAGAGAGAGAGAGAGAGAGAGAGAGAGAGAGAGAGAGAGAGTTTGATGAAATAGACTGTGTTTCACTGGAATGATTGTAATCTAGGTTGATATAAAAGCGCTGTCAGTGTCAATTGTAGTTAATTAAACGATGGAGGGAGGGAGGGAGGGAGGGCGGTACGGGAGTGGTGGTGGTGGAGTGCTGTGGTAGAAATGTTTTGTGTTCCCCGGCATAAAATAGCTTAAAGGCGATGAATAATGTTGCCCCTTTATTAAACACGTATATGCTTAGCTCGCTTAGGGGACGAGTTGATTGTGTGATGAAAGTGTATGATTACTTTTATTATTAGTTCTTATTTCTATTTATTTACCTTTATTGCTTCTTTTTGTTTATTTTCTTTTATTGCTTATTTTTATTTTGTTACTTTTCCTGTTTTTTTGTTTGTTTTTTACTTTTATTGCTTATTTTTGTTTATTTATATATTTATTTACCTTTATTGCTTCTTTTTTTATTATTTATTTACTTTTATTCACTTTTATTACAGATATTACTTGTATTACAATTGTGTGGTTACATTCCACACCAGAGAATTATTAAACATGGACGTTAAATTGAACTGAGACTCCCAACTACACAGGTTAGGAATCCATGTTAGCTTCCCGATTGCCTCCCCAACCCTGTGGATTTGAATAATTGTGTATTTTCGTAATTAGTGCCGGAAATTCCAAGAAAATTTCTATAAGATCCCACTATAAAAAAAAATGCTGTATACTTGAGTTTTGATAATTTATTCTGCTCCAGTTAAGGATTATAACCCACCCCCATCATACTGACCACCCCCATCTCACTCCACCACCACTTAGCTCCACACCACACCACCCTAGCCCACACCATCACCCTAGCTCCACACCCCACTCCTACTCCCCACCCCCACTCCTACCTCCACACCCTGCCCCTACCCTCACCCCATGCCCGCCTGTGCTGCCATTCCTAACTCCAACTATTTCCATCACCCC